GTGGTGAGACAATTCCGGCTACCCCAGCTTATAGGGGAAAATATAATCCAGCCATTCGGGCAAATCCCTCCCCTCTGCTTCCCTCACGTGGATAAGATGTGTAACTAAGGTGTACCCATATATGTTTAATGTGTTGTAATCACTCCTTTTGAACCTCCTGCCCCAAATTGCTTTGTTTTCCCCACAATAAACCTTGCTGTTGTTAGAAATTTAGTAAGCACTGAGCGAGTTATTCACTCAAAAAAGTCGGGACATAAGTTCCTGTATCCTCTGTGTGAGGCGATACCCACGTGTGGATCTCTCAGCAAATCCTGATAAGTTAATACACTCCAATAAGGAGATATAATAGGTCACGGATCGTGACACCTGGAAATCTGGAAAACTGTGTAACTGACAAGCAGATAGCTGCTGCTCCAGTCCTGGCTTCCCCATGCATCCTTCTGCCCTCAGGTGTGTCCATTTCTGGAGCCCCCGGCATAAGAAGGACATGGAACTCCCAGAGTGAGTCCAGAGAAGGGCCACAAAGATGATCCAAGGGCTGGAACACCTCCCCTATGAAGACAGGCTGAGAGAGTTGGGGTTGCTCAGCCTGGAGAAGAGAAGGCTCCAGGGAGACCCTAACTGACCACTCTTGCCCTAAGCCAGGCAACTGACAGAAGAAAAAGATGTTCCTCAAGAATAACCAACGGGAGCAAGTACCTGTAGAATATACAGCTTCTCTTCTGAAAGTTGCCAGCCAGCTCTGGCACTGGGGCTTCTTCACCCTATGTACACATGTTGCAACTGTGCACCTCTACATGTGCTGGAGATGGCCTGGTCAGAAAAACTCCCCAGAAAATCACTAGTACAGCTTTTATCCTGTTTGCTCATCAAAGCTCATTCCAGGCGCCAACACAAACATGATACAATCCACAGAAAACTACTAATGTGTAACTGGGTTCCTGTCTGAGCCAGCAGCAGCGTGTCGAGGTGGCTGAGAAGGCCAACACCATCCTGGCTTCTACCAGGAACAGTGTGGCCAGCAGAACTAGCAAAGTGACTGTCCCTGTGAAACTGGTGAGGACTAGAGCACTGTGTTCAGGTTTGTGCCTCTCACTGCAAGAAAGATGTGAGGAGACCTTATAGTGGCCTTGCAGTACCTGAGGGTGGCCTACAGGAAAGCTGGGGAAAGACTTTTTAGAACAATTTGTAGTGATGAGATAAGAGGGAAGGGTTTCAAAGTGGAAGAGGGGATATTTAGATTAGATATTAGGAATAAATTCTTCACTATGAGGGTGGCAAGACACTGGAACACGTTGCCCAGAGGAGGTGTGGATACCCCACCCCTGGAAGTTTTCCAAGGACAGACTGGATGAGGCTTTGAGCAACCTGGTCTAGTGGGAGGTATCCAAACCTGTGGAGGGGGGTTGGAACTGGATGATCTTTAAGGTCTATTCCGATCAAAACCATTCTATGACCCTAACCAGCCAATTATGTCTCCAGGCACAACTCAATTACAGCAAGAAACAGCTGGTCAATATGCCTATCTAGAACTTAAAAGCCCTAGAGAAGACTATTACCTTAAAGATCTTCCACAGGGGACAGCAACACATAAAATAAATGAAGCCTGAAAATAAGTAAGCAAAGAAGGGAGAGGATACAGACTTTTTGAAAGAAAGAAACTGTGGTAGATAATTAAATACTTCAAATGAGGTTAAAATGCAAATCAGAGTGAAGTTACACACATATATCAAGTTACCTAGAAGCTCAGGTACCATTAGGAGACAATTTCTGTTCTCTTGCCCACCCTCAACCTCCCTGTGCAGGTTGGTCCCAGCATTTACCTCACTTCTGGTGCTCAATTAGTCTGTTAACTTTGCAGAAAAACTACCTTAAACATCCCTTTCTGCCAGTTTAGTAAATTAAATTATTTCACTTGTGAGCTAGTGCCAGTGAGAGAGAGAAGGTAACCAAGGTCTATCTTCACTGTAGAACACACTCTTACCCTTAAAAGCTGCGCCAGGAGAAACCTGGCTTCCAACTTTGTGCTATTTCATTACTAAACAGCAGCACTGATTCTTAAGATACCTAGCATTTTTGTTGGAATCTCCTTAAAATCAGGTTCTGGCATAAACAGAATCCCACTGAAACACCACTAGGATGAGAGGCAACTGAAAATTTTGGTTTCTGCTTAGGCAAAAGGCCTGTTGGGGACAGGAATAGAACAGAACAGCTCCACGTTAGTCTAATCCGATCCAAACCAGGCTGTTTCTACACAAAACAGCATACAATTTTCACCTTCTTTCCCTTCCTCCAAATCCATCTTCCAGCACTGTCCTCTTACAAAACCTAGGGATGGTTAGGCTGCCAAATCTCTTGCCTCAGCTTGCTGCTCCACGAGATAGATAACCTACCAAAAATAAGTCTTCCAAAAGACTAGGTTAACCCGCTAATCTTGCAAACATAATAAGTAGATGTCAAGCAAAAAAACAACAACCCACCAACAAACAACAACAACAACAACAAACAACCCAGGGTAACAATGTGGCACTTACTGGAAATTAACCTTTGAACAACAGCTAAACTGGATTGAGCCTAACACAGAATTGCACCCTAAAAAAGCAGACAGAGCGAAATAAAAGGCCTGTTAACACAATGGCAGGAATAACAGCACAGCAGAAGCGGAGGGAAGGAGAAAACTCACTCCCAGAGCAGCACAAGCACAAACACACAGACCCACGAGAGCCTGACCCGCAGTGCTGGCCTCAGCACACACCAAAAACACCACGGGTGCCCTGTGTGTAAGTTCCTGACCTTTCTGAAGTGCAAAAGCAGCAGGGTCAGGCCGAACGTCCACTCTACAGTCACTGAGAACTAGGCAGGGGGCAGAAAGGTTCTACCCACTCACCCCTGGCACGTGACTCTTGACTGCAAAACACTTTCTGGCCTTAGAACTGCATTAATTGCTCCATCCTCGAGACACAAAGTTGGTGCGCACCAAGATGCGCGGGTTTGGGGGAGGAAAATGAGCAAGGCTGCTGCAGGCT